AAAATGTATAAAATAATAAAATACCATATACGTATTTTAATTGTTATAGTTGAAATTTAATAATAATAATTACGTCCAATAAATAATACTCTTTTTACGAATTTAGTACTGTAACCTAATTGACAGGATGTCCTACAAACGCGATTGATACTATCTGTGTTTTTACCACAGGAAGTGCGCATTGTGATTTGTACCCATGTACAATATGTTCTTTATATATTATATAGTCATATTACAGATAGTTGAGGTATAGTGGTTTGTGAGTTGTAGTTATTGATCATCTAGGAAATTCATCTAGTTTATGTAATTATTACAAAGTCCAAGTTTTTMTTTTATTTTTATGTACAAACAACTTTTCATTAATCACCTCAAATGTCTTACTATATATTATCAACTACTAAAGTAAGTTAAAAATTATATGTAAATGATTTGCTGTTGGCTAGGTACCCATTGGCTATAGGGTTATTTTATTAGGATTTATTAAACGATCAAGAATACAAAAACAATAGGTACCACCTTACCTGAAGCTCCCAAATACTTATGTAGTATGTACTTATTCAGATATTATTTCCATCCTTAGRGAATTTCTGTGTCATCATATTTTGATAATTATCAGAGGTATTCTCCGGTATATCTTAGCTCAGAAATATACATTAAATAGAAGCACCAGCAGCTAGCAAACGATTTTGTGTCATTGCCCATTGTTGAGAGGGGTGTGGCTGGRGAGGATGTGAATTACTCCTTAAACATAAACATTATGGATCAAATAAATACATAAACAGTACACCAGTTATACGACCATACGACTAGGTATTCTTATTATCAAGAGTTATTTTGTTATTTATAACCTAAAATTCTAAGTTTATTATATTGCTATAAGATAGTAGGTAACTWGATATTTCCTTCCATATACCGGATATAGTAATTTACAACTATACGTTTCCCGAGTGAATGTGGTTACTTCACGCATAAGACTTGAGTCGATGAGTGGTGTGATTTGGGTGGTCGCGGCCGGTGTACGCCGCATTTTGGTTTGTGTGCAACCACATTATTTCGCCGAACTTAGTTCACTTCGACACTATTCGGCCACTATTGAGTATTTTAAACAATAGCTGCAGAGCAGTGAACGTGTGTAGGTGTTGTATTAAATAGGATATATAGTATAGTATAGATATATGTTATTTGTGGTTACTTAATATAGGTATGTGTATACAGGATGATTCGTTTAGCAGTTAACACTTAAATTCTCGAAATAATTACACGTTTTTCAGATATTTCTTTTTACATAATTTGTAGAAAATAAAACTAACAATTTAAAAATATATATAATATATTTAATCGTTATAATYTTAGATGTAAAATATCTATTTACATTTTTAATTTCATCATATCCTATAAACAGAATAATTTCTAAAGATTTTAATTGAATTTCATAGAAATTMAATTTTATACGATTAGTTAATTAGTGTCAACTAATGCCAACCCCCCTTATAACTTATAACTTACAAGTATTTTAAGTTTGATGATCGATGTACCACTTTTGCTGCTCCATACCACTCAGTTAAACTTTACATACTTCAACTAATAACTAATTAAATTCTCGATTTAAATTTCATTTTTATGCATAAAAAACGTTAGAAAAATACTCTGCTTTGAAAAATTATGAAATAAAAACACGAGTTATCATTCRAATAAATGAAAACTTTAAAACATTCTAATAATACGAAATAGAAGATGTATAWTTTTTTTTTAATTATTTTGTTTTATCATGAACTAAAATAATAATTAATTACAAATATTTTTAAAAACGTTAGTTGGTACTTCTAGAGATAATGAATGTTAATTTTTAAAAGAACCATCCTGTATGTATATCCTTTAGTATTTATTTCGTCAGACAACGACAAATTTTACTAGACACCACATTCCCTTGATTAATCCGGACATCACGTACTTAATACTGTATATTATATTGTTTATTTTGGTAAATGACCTCATCATACGCTTAAGCACGTTTTTTGAATGCAAATTTTGTTGTCACTTTTTCATTAGAATTTTTTTCCAAGTTCTAAGTATTATATGCTAGTTATTTGTGATTAGAATTGCGGTGTTATGCTTATAAATTATAAATTTATAATATATCTTAAGCTTTAAATCAAAATTATTATCATGTAATTTTTTTTATTCAGGTAATCTTCTTTTAAGATTAATACTTTAATTAATATAAAGTAGTGAAATTAGAAAAAAATATAAAATTGTATAATTTAAATATTTTTCAATTTAATAATAATGTATATACAATACTACATATTATTTAGGTTTAACCTAACGTCAAGGGAACTATAGTTTCTGGTTGCTTTTCGGTCATAATATAGTATATATTTTATATCTAATTTTAAAGTCGTTACTAATAAGAGTATAACACTATAAAAGTTTGTAGATTAAAATAGCACAATATACATTATAATCAGAAATTATAAGGATTTATTTGTTATTTTAAGATGTTTGTAAAGTTAATAAGTCATCAAAATTAATATCAATTAATTAATTAATTTTTGTTTGATAACCGTCAAAAGTATAATACTATACTTATCTCATATACCCATATTTATAGCAATTTTAAATAGGTAATGAAAAAAAAATGATTACTTTGTCGAAAATTTTACTCTTACAAATTAATATTATTACGTAATTTATTTACTTTTCTATATCCAATAATCAATCTCATTGCTACTTAACAATAACTTTTTTTTATACATGAATATTTAGTCAGTGGTGCAGCTATTTTGAGTGTTGGTTCTTGTATTATAATCAAAACAAATAATATAACTGTGTAGCCTATGTTTGGTTCATTGTTTTTCTATCCTACTCATTTCTATTCTCTTTCTCTTTTGTTTTAACTTTTTCTATTGTGCAATAAACGGTTATTATTTATTATTAATGCTGTTGYGCATTGTTATGGCATTTACGTTTTCGCATATTTGACACTAAGATTTTTAATAATTTTTATAATGTTTTTACAGTTTCGCCAATAGTTTCATTTTGTACTATATAGTTTTATTATTAGAATTATTTGGTATTTGTTTAATGTGAATTGCAAAAAAAATATACAATCTATTTGTACGTAAAAAAAGTAGTTCGCTGTCCTCACGCAATATAAACAAACACCTTTATGATCCATGTTAAT